GGGGGGGGGGGAGGGGGAGGAGGGGTCCTGCCCTGGTGGCCTCGGGGGGAGCCTGGGCCCACCCACACCTTGATTTCAGGCTTCTGCCTCCAGAACTGGAGAGAAGAAATTTCTGTTGTATTAAGCCACCAAATTTGTGACAAATTGTTGCAGCAGCCCCAGAAATTTAACATAGAATGTAACTGATATCTTTTTTAATCTAAGGAAAACATTCATTTTTTTCACTAAAGGAAAAAGCCTTTCTAAGCATAACAAGGTAAGAAGTCACTCAGAAGAGGCTGATTTATTTGACTACGTAAAATTAAAAAGTCTAGCACCTCAAGAAACACCCGAAAAATGGTTAACTAAATTATGAAAAAGCCATACAAAGGACTATTATATGGCAGATAAAGAGGGGTAAGTCAGCTCTTTAGCTTCTGACAGGGAACATCCTTTCAAGATATAGTATTAAATGAAAAAGACAAACGAAAGAATGGTGTGTAAACCGTGTTAACATTGCTTTCAAAAAAGTTTACACACTGTGTCAGGCAGGATGACAGCGCCCAACAACGTCCACGTTCTAATCCCCGGAGCCTGTGAATGTCAGGCTGCACAGCAAGAGGGAGTTAACGGCTAAGACTGCTGAGGAGCCGGCCTTAAAACAAGGGTATGATCTTGGATTTACTGGGTGGGCGCAATGCGTCAGCCACAGGGAGCTCATCAGTGGCAGAAGGAGGCGGAGGAAACAGAATCAGAGACAGACGGGAAGACGTGACGCTTTGCAGACGGAGGAGAGGCTACAAGTCAAGGAGCACAGGTGGCCTCTGGAAGCTGGACAAGACCAGGAAACAGATTCTCCCCTGGAGCCCCCAGAAGGGATGCCACCCTCCCAGCAATTTGATCTCAGTCCAGGGAGAGTCGTTTAAGTTGTGTGGTTTTAAGCCACTGAGTTTGTGACAATTTGTTATAGCAGCAATAAAAAACGAATACACACAACACTCACACATTTATGCTAACCTATACACAGAAGGAACACAAGAAAGTGCCACAGTGGTTACCTTGCGGGGGAGGGTCTAGATGGGTGGGAGGGCAGGAACGGAAGAGAGACTCACTTTTCACTATATATCCATCTGTGCTT